CTTGAGAGTCATTTAAAAACTCATTTTAAGATAAAGAATCTTGGAGATGTTAAGCAATGTTTAGGATTAAGAGTTACTCAAAATCATAATGAAAATTTCATTGCTATTGATCAAGAAAATTACATTAATGAAATTTTAAAACGTTTTGGCATGTTAGATTGTAAAGCAGTTTATACTCCGTTGGAAAGTAATATTGGTATAAGCAATGTAGACGGTGAATTTTGTGATGAAAAATTTCCTTATAAAGAGTTAATTGGTAGTTTAATGTATCTGGCCGTCATGACTCGTCCTGATATTTCTTATGCCGTAAGTGTACTTAGTCAGTATAATACTTGTTACACGAAGGTTCATTGGCAGTGTGCCAAACGATTGTTAAGGTATTTAAAAGGAACTAAACACTTTTCCATGAAATTCATTGACAATCAGTCAGGTTTAGTTGGTTTTGCAGATGCTGACTGGGGTTCTGACAAGCATAATAGGAAATCATACACTGGATACGTTTTTAAATTAAATGGAAATTGTATTTCATGGAGGAGTTGTAAACAAAGAAGTGTAGCTTTGTCAACGACAGAGGCCGAGTATATGGCTTTAAGCGAAGCAGCTAAGGAAGCCATGTACTTGAATAAACTTGTCTTCGAACTGACTGGGAAATCGGATTGTGTTGTAATACATAATGACAATCAGAGTGCTCAGAAATTAGCTAACAATCCAGTTTTTCACGAGCGTTCAAAGCACATCGATATTAGATACCATTTTTTACGAGATGCTGTCGCCAACAATGAAATAGATATACAATATATTCCCACAAATGAAATGGTAGCTGATGTGTTGACCAAGCCTTTAGCTAATCGAAAACATATGACTTTTGTAAAAGCTTTAGGTTTAAGTGATTAAAAGTACAAATTTGTGTGAATTTATGATAAGTGGGGGTGTTGTAAATATCAGAAATTCACCCACTAGTAGCGACATCTGTTCTTCTTGTTTTTGTTACGCGCTGCCTACGCATCGCTTGCTTTTAGTGAAGTATGTAAAATACAGTACTTCGGGCAACACGCGTCTCTTTTATTCCTGCAACTATTAACAGCATTCCCATCTTCTTTGCCGCTTCAGAAGCTAAATTATAATAGTAAATGTGAACGCTGCAGAGAAAATCTTTTGCGAAGCATGTGTATATGGCAAGCAGCACAGATTAAAGTTCTCAAAAGTTCAACGAATCACTAAACCCGGAGAAATGATTCACAGTGACGTGTGTGGCCCAATGTCAGAACAGTCCATAGGAGGTGCGAACTATTTCGTGTTATTCAAAGACGATGCTACCAGTTATCGTGTTGTATATTTCATAAAGCACAAGTCGGACGTTCTCGAAAGTTTTAAAGCGTACGTTAATATGTGCAATAACAAATTCGGTCATCGAGTAAAAGTTTTGCATGTTGACAATGGAACTGAATATGTGAATCATTGTTTTAAAGACTTCTTAATGAAGATGGGTATTGAGATGGAAAGAACAGCACCCTATAATCCAGAACAAAATGGAAAAGCGAAAAGGGATATGAGAACTATCGTTGAAAGTGCCCGCTCAATGTTATATGCAAAAGATTTACCTACGGAATTGTGGGGTGAAGCGGTGAATACAGCAGTGTACATTCTAAATCGCACTCAGAATCATCAAACAGTAGGGACATCCCCATACGAATTGTGGACAGGTAAGAAGCCTGTATTATCTCATATTAAAGTTTTTGGATGCGTATAGGTTATGCACATCTACCAAAGCAGAAACGAACAAAGTTAGATGCCAAGAGCAAGAAGTTCATTTTTGTTGGATATGATGGCAACTCGACCAATTATCGTTTGTTTGACCCAGAATCAAGAAGGATCACAATTGCAAGGGATGTGATATTTAATGAAGAATTGATAGAACCTTCTTCAAGAAGTAATAATGTAAAGATTACATTGACAGATGATGACAGAAACGATTACGAGGAAATTCCTACATTGACAGATGATGAAACAAATGATTACGAGGAAATTCCCGACATTAACAGTGAAAATGCGGAAAACGGAGAGGAAATGGAACCACAAACACAGCAACAGGCAAGATATGAGTTACGGCCACGTGAAAGTATTTCACCACCAACGAGATACATCGATTATGCAGCAAATTATGTAGAAGTGGATGTACCGTCAACGTATGAAGAGGCCATGTCAAGCAGAAATTCTAAAGAATGGCAAGCATCCATTAATGAAGAACTTGCAGCTCTTGAAGAAAACAAGACATGGGAATTGACCGTAAAGCCACCTGATAAACACATAATCGACAGTAAATGGGTTTTTAAAGTGAAACGTACACCGGAGGGAAATATTTCTCGTTTCAAATCTAGGCTATGTGCGAGAGGGTTTTCTCAAATTGAAGGTGTAGATTTTAAAGAAACTTTTTCCCCAACTACAAGATACGAGTCAATTAGAATTTTACTTTCTTTAGCAGCGAAGTACGATTACGAAATCATTCAGTTTGATGTTAAGACAGCATTCTTATATGGCGAACTCGATGAAGAAATTTATATGTCGCCACCTAATGGTGCAAACATCAATCCAAACTTAGTCTGTAAATTGAAGAAATCGCTGTATGGTCTGAAACAATCCCCAAGATGTTGGAACCGTAAATTTAACAGCACTCTTAAAAACTTCAATTTTCAACAATGCACAGCTGATCAATGTGTATATAAAGGGCAAGTAGATGGTAAAAGAGTACTGTTAATTCTTTTTGTGGATGATGGTCTAATAATCGGTGAAGATAAATTAATTCTAAATTCGATTATAGAAAAACTAAAACAAGAATTCAAGATCGTGCTTGGAGATTTAAACTATTATGTAGGTTTAGAAATCGAACGTGATCGAAAGAACAAATCTCTCTTTATTCATCAAAGGCATTACATTAAGGAGATAATTAGACGATTTAATTTGGAAGATGCAAAATCGGTGAGTGTTCCTACAAATTTTAATAATATTTTGAAGGCAGTTACACCGGAAAGTAAACAAAATGGAAAAATCCCATATAGAGAAGCAGTGGGAGCACTAATGTTTGCAGCTATCGTCAGTAGGCCTGATATAATGTATTCATTGGGTATGGTGAGTCGATATTTAAATAACTACGATACAGCACACTGGAATGCAGTAAAACAAATAATTAGATATCTGAAAGGTACTCAAGATTATGGAATACTGTATAAAGGAGGCGATTCAAAATTAATCGGTTACTCGGATGCAGATTTTGCTGGTGATCCCGATACCAGGAGGTCTACTGCATCAGGATATATTTTCATTCTAAATAGCGGTGCTATTACCTGGAGTAGCCAACGTCAACCGACAGTGTCGCTTTCTACTACAGAATCTGAGTATGTTGCAGCCGCTAATGCTACAAAAGAAGTGTTATGGTTACGCAGTTTTTTAAATGAGATTGGCGAAGATGTAACAAGTGCAACACCTTTATTAGTTGACAACCAAAGTGCAATACGTTTAATTAAAAATCCAGAGTTTCATAAACGAACCAAACATATTGACACAAAATACCATTTTATCCGTGAACAGTGTACTGGGTATAAAATTTGTGTTGAATATGTGGAAAGTGCTAAACAGTTAGCGGATATTATGACTAAACCTTTAAACAAAAAGAGGCATGAATTGTTACGAGAACAATTTGGTGTTAAATTTAAAAATGTTTAGTGATGTGTCGATGTGTGTAATGTAATTATGGAAACTTTATTATTCAGTTTAATATTGCGATTTTGATATTGATAAGGAAAGGCAGATTTTAGTGGGAGTGTTGAGATATTTGAAAATGCCTGCTTTCCTTAACACCTTGATTTAGTAGTAATGAAAAAGCAGGGAGTTGTTTTTAGTTGCTATGTATAGTTAGTTGTAGTAACAAAAAATTGCTGATTGAATCTGTTTCAGTTTAGTCATTACATTTTTCCATATTTTTGCTCATTCGTGTTCATTAAAGTGTTTTCTACTTTCCTTGACTATCGCTTCTTAAAAGAACTCCAAAAACAACACATACATCAGACAAAACTAAGAGATATTAAATTTACCTCGCTGGGCGGTAGGATTACCCAGGCCCAGTGGGGTGCCTGTAGACGTGGGCTATAGTTGTTGGGTTTCGGAACGAGTGAAAATGTTAGTGTTAGGTTCACCAAGGCACGTATAAACTTGAATAACTCGATCTCCTGTAAACAAGCACACTTCCCTCTTGATTACTCACAGCCCAAATAAACAATTATAATAAAATGCAATGCAATAAACGAGAGTGACTACAAAGCACGATACACCAATAGTGGGACACATGCAAGTATGTACAGCACAGATACAGCCCTACCGACACTGAAACATGATTGCCAATAAGCCGTACTTAACACTTAACCCGGTTAGAAGAAAAAGACCATGAACACACATGTTAAATTGTATTTATTGACTAACCCAAGCCACGATGTAATTTGATCTAACACCCCTAAAAACTACCCAAAAATCGCCCATTCCCTGCATTTCACGCATTTCTAGGAGAAAACTGGAATGCAGGTGTTTGCAATGGTAAACACATGTGGTACCTTCCAAGAATTCCATCTGTCTCATCTTCGCTCTCTTTCCCTTTTCTGTAATCCCACCAGATTTCGGTTGGCAGCTTGTGTAACTAACATGATGTATAGGGTACTTCGTATCGACAATCATATTCACAGGACGTTGCTAAGGTTGGGGCCTCTCATGTTCGAGGTTTTTTTTAAAAACGTTCGCCCGTTACTCGCACTGTATATTTTCAGTAGTACCAGTTTTTGAAAAAATTGATTTTTCCAGCTGGGTTTCCGAATGTTTCGGGTCCTCATCGTTAGCCCGAGCACCCTTCGATTTGCAATTCTAAATTCGGAACTTCGTTTTTCTCCAATGCGCAATCATATCTTTTTTGAATTTGATAACTAAACACGTGTAGGTACGTTTCACATACAGAAGCCTTCTTTTCAATCATTTTATTTTTCTTACAAAAATTTTGATCTATTATACACACATATAGCTAATGTAAAAATACCTAAGATCTACAAGACGAAATAGAGATGAGTATTATGTATATCAGTATTTTGCAATTGCGCAACTATACATCACTAAAATGCAACCTAAAAAACTAAAAGGAATCTATACACTACGAAATTTGAGATAATATGGCTACGAGCATAAATTAGTTATCCTACGTTACGACACCGCATGCTTACCGACGCGCTTTTTTGAGAGATGGCAAGAAAACGTTCTTTGGACTGATAGTTTTTGTTTGGAATTTTATTGATAGTACTGTTTGTCTATCGCCTTCAATTCTCTTAGAGGTCTCGCGCATGTCGTCTCGATCCACTGCATGTCGGGCGGAATGTATCCGCCGATTTGCTCTTTGTCTTTACATCCGGTCTCCCAGCTGAAGATTCCGGCTAAAGTGTACTGGCCGTTGCCGTTCGTGCACGCCAATGCGCTGCCGTAGTCGACCTGAAAATACCGCCGGCTGTCTTGGAGAATTTCGCACGATGACCGATACTTACGTCGCAGTGGTCGCTGTTGGAGTTCGCGCAGATCACCGACTCGGAGAAGTCGGGCAGTACGTTTTGGTATTTGCCCTGCAACTTCTGCGTGCAGGTGTTCGGGTCTAGTAGGTTGACGTCGATCGATCGCATTATCGCACCGCGCAAGTGCAACTGTAAGATGCGTTTTCCCCAACCGGTCGCGATGCAATGGCCGCCGAGCTGCTGGTTCGGTTGGGGTAGGCAGAGCGGGGCGATGTTTTTAGCCGTCCTTAGCTTCTCGTCCAGCATCAAAAGCGCTAGGTCGTTCTTCAGGGAGCCGGACGTGTACGCGGGATGCCGAATGACGGCGGCCACTTTCACAATTTGGAACGGCAGGGGCTCCTCGTCGATTCCCAACTTCCATTCGCCACCCTTGACGAGAATGTCACGCGTGTCCAAGCTGTGAAAGGGGTGGTTAGTGACCTTTGCGGTTTGGCAATGGCAGTTACCCCTCGACGCAGTGGGCCGCGGTGAGAACAGCGTTCGGTTTCACAATCGCGCCGCCGCACAGAAGGCTGCGGTTGGTGTCGCGCAGAACCATCGCCTGCCATGGGATCTCGGCGAAGTTCACCTCGAGCGGGTTTTCGCCTCGCGGGGGAATGTTCTGGAAGCAAAAGACGGGTAAAGGATCGCCCGTGGGTTTTTAGGAGAATTACCGGGTTGCGTACGCCGCAAGTCTCGACCTGAGCCTGTCTGGTCGCGCCGGATCTCGCCGGTCTCGGCTTCTGCGCGAAGTACTGGCCCAAACGCGGATCCTCCTTGTACTGACCGTCGTCGAATCCGTTGACGAGATTGGCGGACGGCCACGGGTCGACGTAAAACGGATCGCGACAGCACTTGCCGACGACTCCGGCCTGACGATCGTAACAGTCCTGGAAAAGCAAGTTGAGAAATCGCGCGCGTGGCGGGTGCCGGTTTTTACCGTTGTGGGCACGCGCAGGAATTCCTGCTCCTTGGTGAGTACGACGGGGGTGGGCGAGATCATTCCTTCGGCGGTGCAGTAGATTTCCTGTACGCACTTGAGCGCGGCGGCGCATCCGCCGTAGAGCGAGGCGACGCTTCCGATGGGCTCGTTGGGCGACGGAACGTGGTTGTTCGGCGGATGCCAGACGACCGTGCCGCTGCTACCGCTCGCGCCGGGCTCGAGGTTCGGTTCGGTCGTCGAGCGCGGCGGCAGGTACTGGTTGACCGTCGACTGGCTCGGTTTCGGATGGTACACGTTGCCGACGTTCGAGGATTCGGGGTAGTAGGTGAAGGGCGGGCGCGGTGTCGGGTAGCTGTATCCGTTCTTCGTGGGCTCGGTGGTGATTACGTTGACCGGCGGTTTAAACGGCGACGGTTTGTAGGTCGGGCGGGATGGGTACCCGAATGTGGGGGTCGGCGTGGGGTACGAGTATCCGGCGGTTGGTGGGCGGGGCGTTGATGACGGTCTGGAGATGAACTGATTGTTGACGTTCGAGCTGCCGCCGATTTCTGTCGGTTTGGGGTAGGTGATTTGCGTGGGTTTGTTGGTCGATGGTTTAGGGTAGTTAAACGCTGGGGAAGGCTCCGGGTATTGGTAGCCAGGTGTGGGGTGAGAGGGAACGGGTTTGGGCGTGTAGATCACCTGCGGGGGAGTGTTGGTGACCGTGGGAACCACGTACTGAGTGTTTATTTGAGTGTCGGTCGGTATGTGAACGGGAGGATTGCTAGGTTTGGTTGAAGGAAAGGGGGGTAGGTACTCGTTGGAGGCGGTGGGTTTGTTGGTTACAAACGGCGATACGAATGAAGGCTGACTGGCGATCGGCGGAGTGAATTGGGGTCTCGGAGTTGGGGGTGGTCGATGAATCGTTGATGGGCTCGAAGGCTGGTACGAAGGTGGAATTAATTCCGGAGTGTAGGACACCGGAGGCGGTGTTCCGTCAATAGGTGGCAAGTACTGGGGACCTTGAAATGCGGCATCAAAGGATAAATCGCCAAGTTTATCGTTGGTGTAATCGACGGTGCTTGCGAAAACTGGTTTGTTGTAGGTGTTTCTGATTACTTTGATTTTGTTGCTCGGGTTCGATCCGCCCTTAACTCCCGCCGCCGGTGTTAAAAGCGGGTTCGGAATCGGTTCATCGTCCGATATGATCTGGATGGAACCGGGACTGATTCCGGCGCCGCCGTGAAATTTGATTAGCGAGTCGGAGGACGATCCTTTCCCGTTGGCGATGTGCGACAAATTGGAAAAGTGGGAGCTGGCCGAAAACGACGATTGGAAGGACGCCGAGCCCGAATGGGCGCCGCTGCTTGCAAAGCGGCAACATTCCAGCTTGCCAGCCTCGCAGTGACCATCCTGAAAAATGCAAGTTTTGTAATAACATGTCAAAATCGTTATTTGTGCACCAACATCGTTGGGAAAAAGACCAAGAGCATTATCCCAATGACCAAAACATGAATTTGATGCATTTTAGGCGACCACGTGGATTTTGATCAAAACATGTCAAAATCTTGGGTACACGCTTTTACTTTGATCGCGGGCGAGGCGTTGAATTTGTCTATGCGATTCAATGCTAATTTTTTTCTCGCGGCTCGACGTGAATTTTCCCGCGACACAATCTGAATTTTTTACACAGACTAAAATCCACCCTCCGCTAACTTACAGGTGGTCCACTTTTTTATCGCGAATTCCCCAACGACTTTTCCTGTTTAATTTACTCCCATTCCGTAACTCAAACCTAGTCCACCAATTAAAATCAGTTTTTGCGTCCAATGAGATTTCTTGACACATCAACTCTGCGTGTGCCAAAATTCCTACAAAAACAAGACAACCAGCAAGCTTGAGATCGAGGGACGTGACCCTTGTCAAATCGTTACGTAATTCTAGTCGTCTCCCACGACTTCCCGGCGCCATACGCTTTCATACGTATTTTAACAGCCAGGACTGCACTCAGGAACCTTCGCCCTCATACCAAAACGAAAATTTTTTAGGAAATCTCGCCAAGTAATGAAACCGCTCTTTACCTCTTGCATGACCCAATCTAAACAACTGTGTGACCCAAACCAAACTCTGAAATTCTGAAAGTTTACTAGCGACGCCACTGGTACCAGCTGGTGCGTTAAAAAAATTCAAAATCGGAGGGGGCCTTTTTCCATGCATGCATACCAATTTCCATATGTTTCAAGTATTCTTGATAGATTGCGCGATACTCAGATTTATCGTACTTGGATCTCAGAACCGCGTTTATCGTATCAGAAAGAGGCAAGAATGCCTGTCTGCAAGTGAATTGTCCCACTCCTACAAATTCCTACCGTGAAGGGTAGAAGAACCTGTGTCTCCCTCCTCCCCTTTTCTAAAGTTTAACTTGGCACCACTAAAGGCATGCGTATGCAAAATCTGAGACCTATTGGTTGTCGTAAGTAAAAGTTATGCACGTTTTACTTTCAAAAACAGCATCTCAGGAAATAATTCGTGGGGGGGGGGGGGGCTTTTACACAGCGAAATTTGATGGCCGCCTGGCACATCTTCAAGATATAGGCTACCTACTGCAAAAAATTCCAGGGCTCTAGGACCATTCCCCTAGAAGTAGTTCAAAACGGTAGAAGTGGGTCCGGACGGACGGACAAAACGCAAACAATAGCACATTTTTTTTAATTCTTAAAAAATGCGCTAAAAAAAGGAAATTCATCATTTGCTAAAGACATTTTCGTTGAACTACTCAGAAGAAATGATACTCCTAGTGTTATGACTTATTATGGACCGCGCCCTATGCAGAACAATGGGTTTAGACAACGATAAGGAAATCAAGATACTGTAATAAATTTGCCGGTTGTAGCCGTTCCCGTCGAGCGTCTAAAAACTCTCCGATAGGATTGTATGATTTTTAATCTGTCGCTTGATCCCCAAATAATTAATTAGTTGTCTTCCAGCACACTTTACCGAAATAGTTCGTGTTTGGTATTGTTGGAAGCGCGCTTAAATAACATGAATTTTAAGACTGACAACGAGAATAGCATTCCTTATTTTCGTATTCAAATACCAGTAGATAACCAATTTTTGGCCCAGATCAGAATTTTTTGGTTCCACAGCGTAGTCGAATCAGGTTCGTAGGTCAATGACCGCAGTACAATCCACATTCCGCTCTCAGTTTATAAAATAAGTCAATCACAACGAAAAACTTCACTGAAAGTGAATTTACTCGAATCCCAGAATTTTGAAGATCCTGTATTTGAATTTCAATTTTTATTTTAACGTGGTTACAAATTAAGATCAAGCGCATTAAATTATTTAGTGATGTCCTTGTTATCTCCGGCCGTAAATAAGAAGTTTTCTTATCGCTGCGTAAGCTAATTAATTTTAAGATAAGGACGTGTTATCGTCGAAGTTTTTAACACGGGTGCAGATTATTTGAGTATTTAAACAAAACATTCAGTTTTGGCATTATCAAGGCTTCTTGAAGAGACAGGTCAGTCTTGTTTAATTGTAAAGTTGTATAGAAGAAAGCTAGAGAGTGTATAAAGAATTTTCTATACGTCGTTAGAAGTCGAGTCGAGTCTGCGGAAGTCATTCCAGTACCCGCTAAAGGGACTTTTTTCACCATCAAAAAGCCCAGTGTCGTCTAAATAGAGTTTAATGTTGTTACTTCGAGAAGTATCAGCTTGGTGGTTGGTTTATGTGTTAGTGCGTCAGTTGAAAAGCGCAATTATGACCGGATAATAAGGATTATTTAACTTAATTTAAATTTGAAATTTTACAATCAAAATTGTTCATGTTAATTTTGTCAGTCTTGAGTTTAATTGAGACAGGTGCGTGTGGGCGACCGTTTGGCATTGCACATTGCAATTTTTATCTGGCGCCCAACGTGGGGCAATATTTTTCAGGCTCCTTTCAATCGGCCCTCAGAACTGGGAAGTAACAACATTTGAATGATTATACCAAAAAGCAACAATATCTTAATGCATCTCACTCGTTAGCGTTTGTTTTTGTGAATTTTTAAACTGTGGTTGCCTTGACCTTCAAGGTTATTCCAAGGTTAACTTCAAAATCTTGAATGGTGCTCGGAAATTAATAAGACGGGAAACCGCGGTCCGATTCCAAACTATGGATGTCCTGATCGGCTCGAAAATAAGTTCATATCGACTCGAAGCTCGGCTCGTTTCGAGCCGAGCCGAATTGAGCTCGGATTCAAAACAATGGAATACAATTAAAAACTGAATGTTAAAAAACTTTAATCGTCAAGTAGTTTTAGGTTAAGTTAACTAAATATAAACAAAACCATATACAGGGTGTTCCCAAATATGATTTTGGTTTGAGACTGCAGTCTGTCTCAACTCTTTTTAAAGATAGACACTTGCGGTTTTCGCTATCCTTTGCCCCTTTTTTTTGTGAAAATTTTAATATCACAAACAGAATCAATCTAGTTACGTTTGTTTCTGAGATACAGGGTGAAAAGGAAAGTTTGACATTTTGGAATATTATCGATTGATGTTAGATAGGAAAAAGCTGCCTATTTTGGATTTTACATAGAATCCAGTGGCGTAGAGAAACAAGTATAAATTGTGCACAACTCTTGTGCAGATAAAGGGCATTTTTTAAAACCGAAATAACTTTTGTTTTGAAATCACCAATGGATATATTTCTCGCAGACGTCTCAATCGTCTTTTGTGAGTACCATCTTCCGACAATCCGTTCTTGAGGTAGGTACAAGAGAATATACCCGATCACGATAAGAGGTCGAGGAGGAGGGCTGTGGTTGGTAGAAATTAATTCCTTTCGTTGAGACCTTTCATTATAGAGTACCATGAAGGATAAAACTAGCTCCCCCCCCCCTTCACCCCGTACCTACTTTGATAAGAGGACAGAAAGAAGGGCAGTAGTTGGTAGAAAACCTTTCGTTGAGACCTTTAATTAGAATACAATGAGATAAAATTAATTTTTAACTCCCCCCCCCCCCCCCCTCAGACTCTGTCGCTCACTGATCTCGAAAAAAAGTCGCACTGGAAAGTTATAGTTTGAACAAACCAATTTCAATGAGACCTTTCTTTCTTTCTTTAGAATACCATGAAGGGTAGAACATGTGCCCCCTCTCTCCCCCCCTCTTCCCATTTTCCAAAGCTTAACTTGGCACCACTAAAGGCATGCGTATGGAAAATTTGAGAGCAATTGGTTGTCGTATGTAAAAGTTATGCACGTTTTACTTTCAAAAACAGCATCTCAGGAAATAATTCTTGGGGGGGGGGGGCTTTTAGACAGCGAAATTTGATGGCCGTCTGGCACACCTTCAAGATAAAATTAGCTACCTACTGCAAAAAAATTCCAGGACTCTAGAAGTAGTTCGAAACGGCACAGAAGTGGGTCCGGACGGACGGACGGACAAAACGCAGACAATAGCACATTTTATTTAATTCTTAAAAAATGCGCAAGGAGAAGGTGAAGCGGGGTTCCTGACTTGGTATCGCCGTTTTAGACACCGATAAGGAAATCAAGATACTGTAACAAATTCGCAGGTTGTAGCCGTTCCCGTCGAGCGTTTGAAAACTCTCCGATAGAATTGTATGATTTTTAATCTTTCGCTTGATCCCCAAATTTCGGAACGCGATAGGTGTTAACTGAACTACCAAATTTCGGAATTTCAGCCCGGCCATTTAGGTGAGCATAATTAACCACAGTTAATTGTGTTGCAGCAAACTCGTGTGGCGCAGTTCAGTTAAAAGCTGGACTGTGGTGCTAAGGGTCCCTGGTTCGAATCTGTGTTTGGACATGGATATTTGTAAATGTATAGTGGGTTGGGTTGGTAGAGCAACCTTGGCTGAAATCCCGCCCTCTTAAAAATAAAGGCAAAAATAAACAAGTACAAATTGTGCACAACCCTTGTGCAGGTAAAGCGCTTTTTTTAAACACCCCTACGAAATTTCTTCTATAAATAAGAAAGTTGGCACTGCACATCCTACACAAAACCAAATTTGGAAGATGGCGCTACATTTGCTTTTATTCCAAGTGGCTATGTATTAAATTTTATTTAAATGCCGAATGGTTATATTTCTTCCAAACGTCCCATCGCCCTTTGTAGGTACTTTCCTTTGACAATTCACTCGTTAAGATATAAGGAATTATAACCGATCACGACAAGGGATCGAGGAGGAAGACTGTGGTTAATATAAATTAATTCCTTTCGTTGAGACCTTTCATTAGAGTACCATGAAGGATAAAACTAGTTCCACCCCCCCCCCTTCCCCATCCGGCTGTAATTTGATAAGAAGACAAAAAGAAGAGTAGTAGTTTGTAGCAAAACTGTTCCATTCGTTGAGACCTTTAATTAGAATACAATGAGAGATAAAATTTATTTTCTGGCGAGCACATGGATTTTGATCAAAACATGTCAACATCGTTATTTATGCACCAAGATCGTTGGAAAAAAGACCAAAAGCATTATCTCAATGACCAACACATGAATTTGGTCTATTTTTGGCGACCACGTAAATTTTGATCAAAACATGTCAGAATCGCTATTTATGCACCAAGATCGTTGGGAAAATGACCAAGAGCATTATCTCAATGACCAAAACATGAATTTGATGCATTTTTGTTAACTATAAAATGTATTATGTAAGATTAAAATAAATTGTCGTTAAAAAGTGATTGTAATACTGAGGATCGCCTTCGATATTTCGTTGTATCGGTTTATTTGCATTCAAAACCTCTTGGTATATTTGAGTCACTCGAAAGGCTTAGGATTATACAACAAAAATAAATATTTAAATAAACTCGCCCGAATAATTATTAGGTTAAGTTGGCTGTTCTGATTTGCCTCTTATGAATATTGATGTCGAAATCGCGCCCACTTGACTTTAATTCGGGAATAAAAACGTAAAACAATGGAAAGCGGTGGATGCAGATGACCTTGTTGATGTAACAATAGATAATGGAACGATTGATGTAGGTCAAAATTTAAATTTTATGCCGTTTGCCACAAGGTGCTCATCAATCAGCGTCGCACTTAAATTTTGCGATTGGCCAACGCGGAAAACCGAAGTCGTTACGCAATTTGAAGATCACGGATAGGTACAAATAATACAAATTCTTGAGGAATGACGAAAATAATGTGAAATAGTTGCAAAAGTGTGTCGCCATTTCAATTGGCACGGGACACCTTTGGGGTCGTAAGGTCGCTGAGGCTATTCGATTTTGAAACGGCGCGAACACGAAAATTAATTATCGGCATAGTCATAATTGTGATCTTTGACCTCACTTTTACTAATTCAAGCGTCGGATGACAAAGAAAAATTGTCGTTACGCAATTCCGATACATTTTCGATAAGTTTCAGGAAGAAGACCGCGGTGGAAAAGGTGAACGATGCGTTCGCATTCCTCTTATAAAGGTCTTTTATATAATCAATTTATGTGGACTAAACTCCTAATTGCCCTTCGAGTAATTATCTTTAATAAAACGGTGGCGTTGACAAATGACCGTATCCAAAAAAAAAATGTAGGTGGAGGACGTGGTGAAAGTAAAAATCGAAAGTGATCCACTCCCAATCATCTTTTTATGCTGATAGCGGTTATCAATATTTATACAACTTTTACAAGACCACCCCTTCCCCCCGTTCAAATTGATGCGTTTGACCTTTAATCGAACCGAAGGTCTCGCCTAATACCTACTGTCAGTTGCACTTTCACAGATTTTGACAATAAATGCGTTTTTCATTGTAACGCAACGACCGTTATTTATTGTAAATATTTTCGTCTTTGACCTTAAGAGGGCGAATAAGTGACACCGTGTATATGTGTAACGTAACCTTTAAAAATCGAACGTCTCCAATGGACATCTTATATCGCATTCCATTCAATCGTTTACCTTGAATCACAAATAGTGATGGACTATGACGAAAGACTAAAATGCCACGATTTATCTAAGAACATCTGTCTGAACTTGTATTAATTAACCAACTTTCATTTCGTCTCCTACGGACACGCCTTCCGTGGAGGATGACAACTTACCGAAAGCTTTGGGGTACAGTCCGAATCGTGCCCGTTGACTATCCCGTTGACGCACAGCTGCGAGGGAACGCATACTTTGTCGCAAGAGGGATGGGCGCCGGGAAACGGTTGCCCTCCCTGATTCGGATGCTGGGAAGCGAACGGCGGCTTCTGGTGGTCACCGTGCGGGTGCGAAACGGGGAAAGGTTGCGCTCTGTTCGCCGATCCGAAAGGCACGGCGGGCTGTACGCCTAAAAATCCCTGGGCGCCCGTCGAAACCGCTTGACCGGTGCTGGCGTAGGCGGCTTGCATGCCGGTGTTAAGGAACGGGTTCCTGCTCAGATCGATTTTGGGGGTCGTATGGCCTACGTCACTAATCTGCCCGTTCAAAAACGGATTGTTTTCGAAATTACCCGGGCCGGCCGGCTCTATGTCGTTCGAGACCTTCGGCCGTTCGGGAACTTGGAACGACGGCGCCACCGGCGGTAAACAGTCGCTTTTCGACGAACACTTCTTGAAATACTCATACGCCTGTTTGAAGGGCGAGTCGGCGGCGGCCCACCAAAACGGCACGGATCCCGGAACGGCAGCTTGACCGTCGTGATGATAATGCTGATGCTCCTGGTAGCACGGCGGAGGGTGAGCCGAACCGTCGAGGACGTGCTTCACATCACCCTTGGACGTCGATATCAGGGCGAGCGCGCCCAAAATTAGTAGTCGGCGCATTACGTCGCTTTACCTGCAAAAACCGAGCGATTAGAATTTCGACTTCTGGCCTTGACAGTGGGAGAAACCCGGTCGAAATAACAATCCGACCCTTGACACTTTCTGACTTTTGTATAATTTAGGAAGCAACACGAGAGCGTCTGGAGCGGCGGCAAGGCGCGAGTGAAAAAGTCATTTGAGCGAGACACAAATCGTCGGCCTTCGCAAGGATTTTACCGTAAGTGAAAAGATCGCCCGGTATATTCCACCCACTTGTAACTTTATAATTAAAAGCTTATATAATTCTTGAGGTCAATATCTTGAAATGTGCTCGGCACGAAGAAGATGAGATGATCGAGTGCCGTGGTTGCGAAAAAAAAGTAATTGAACTACAAGGTAAGTAAATAAAGTACTGCAAGGTAAAAGGATTAATTAACGTAGTCGATAATTTAGCATAAATGTTATTGGCTCGTAAAGTGGCAGGATGACATCACGAAATTTTACTTTCGAAAACGCATCATGTCTAATCCACATTTTGGAAGCGACCGGATTTGGAAAAAATCGTGTTAAATAAATTACAGCGTAAAAAGGTCAATTTAGAAATTAGCGTTGTGTAAAATTGAGCGATTACAAACTAAGAGATCATCGGGGGTCACAACGTTAAAAGGTAAATTGCGATCAATTCAATAGCACTTACGCAATAGTGTAAATAAATAAAAACAAATAAATAAATAAATAAACAAACGGCACTGTATCACAAAACACTGAGAGATGCTCCGAACATGGCGTCACTTTTATACCGGCGTACATCTTTGATATTCGCGTACGTCTTTAAATTCTCCCCCCACCGCCGATATCGGTTTTAACTTATGCAAAAAATTGTTTTCATAATTTTCCTAAAAACGATAAATAAAACGGCGATTTCAACGCTAAATCAAGACACGAACCCCGGAATGTCGCGCGTCACTAGGGCAAGTAAAGCGGTTCGCATATGAATCACACGGTTTTGAAATTGCGGATTTTCCTTATAGGAAAAATTATGAAAATTTCCTCGCTTGCGGAAGTAAGCTACGTACGTCATTATTTACGATTCCTTGCCTAATAAATTAATAATAATATGCATCGTTTATTGTCTCGACAGTCTAATATTTTGGCTTCTTCGGATTGCAACACATTGTCGTGGATGGCGCCTCGATTCTAATATAAATCATAAAATAAAGACCTTGGTTCCGTTTCATAAGAATTTTTGGGCTTTACTTCGGCAGAACAATAAATAATCGATTTTTTAATCGGTTAATAACCATAATCAATTCACAAGGACGTTATGTACAACATCCTTTAATCCGCATTATTGTGCACGATGGCGCGTACGATTAGTCCCGTACTACCCCTAACATGAATTTTTAAACGCACCCTTAATTTGACTTGATCAAAGGCTTCGTATGGTCAATACGCGTATAGTAAAACAAAGAGCAATGAATCGGCTAATTCGACATTTGCATGAAAATTAAAATTCTAGCAAATTCGGAACAATTCCCATAGTTAAAAAATTTAACGATGAAGGTTAACAAATGAATATTCAAAAAAATTCAAATTTGATCCTCCCCCCGTATAACATTGCACTGTTTCTAATGACCAATAAAGTTTCCCTTCCGGCGGCATCGTTTGGTCATAGTTTGCAGGTGCGTGCCGAGTCATTAGCTATTAATTTGATTTAATTGAATGCATAATTAAGTACTAATTATGCGCCGTTTTGCGTCGCTTGAATGAAATAAGTTATTACAAAAATTATTTTGACCCGGTCAACTTCACGGAAACAGCGAACTTTTTATGCGCCCGAAATTAAACGCTAATTATTCTATTGGAGCGCAGAATGGCATTCTTATAATTTTTAGGGGTTGAAACCGGAACCGAAAAGAACCGGTACCGGAACCAATTGCATTTATAAGTTTCTGACTTGGAACCGGAACCGTTACTTGAAAAGTCATGGCAACCGGAACCGATGCCGGTACCGTTGTTATTAGTGCCAAAGCACCGGTATTTTTCGGTTCCCCCTTTTTTGCAGGGAGAGTTAACACCTTGCGGTTTGCGGGAAATGCGTGTTATATTGTTGCTCTTAAAATTTCCTTCTGAAGTGTTGGTGTTTGCTTTTTTTCTTAAATTTAACATTATTCAATTTGCTTCTACCAAGTTAACCTTAATACTAAACAAATATAAAATATTTTAGAGTGACTAATACCTATAAAATGAATCAAAAACAGTAAGAAGGTTGAAGAGTGTATAAGGAAAGCAATAGTTGAAACTACCCCTGAAGAAAAGGACGAAAAAAAACTGGAACCGGAACCGAAAATTACTGGTCACAAAACCGGAACCTATACCGGAATCCCTAAAAAATGATTCTTGCGGAACCGAAACCGATTTCATATGGGTTCCAACTCCTGAGTCTGACTGGCCGCGTTCAACACAAACATAGGTAGAGTAAAGGTCACTCTACCTATGTTTGTGTTGAACTTGTCTTCGGTTTCAGTGCAAGTTTAATAACACCTAAACCAGGGCGGAGAGAGCCGAAGGCGAGTAAAGGTCTGTTGCGGTTTGTACCGAACTCGCCTTCGGTTCGCTCGGGACTAGTTTTAAAAGTATCACGTTTGCATACCTTCGGATTGTTCTGCCAACCCGGACCGAACCGAAAAAGAACCGAAAACCGGACCTTCAGAAACTTATTGAGAACCGGAACCCTTATTACTTTTTTCGGTTCTTTTCGGTTTTTTACGGTTCTGAAGAACAGGTTATTGGAAGTTGAAGGACGTGCCAGCCTGAAAATTGATCAAATATATTACTCCACGATCCATCTGTGGATTATAAATATTTAATAAGGTGTCGAAATGGAAGGCAGTTCGGGTGGCGGTGGCGTTAATTTAGCCACTATTGTAAATGTAAATAATAAAAGGGGGAGTGAGGTTTTAAAAAATAAAAATAACAAGTGAAAATTGTGCATTTCTTGCAGACGTCTCAATCGCCCTTTGTGAGTACTCTTTTCCGACAATCCGTTCTTGAGGCACAAGGGAATATACCCGATTACGATAAGAGGTCAAGGAGGAGGGGTATGGTTGGTAGAAATTAATTCCTTTCGTTGAGACCTTTCATTAGAGTACCATGAAGGATAAAAACTAGTTCCACTCCCCCCCCCCCCCCCCCGCCCCGTACTTTGATAAGGACAGAAAGAAGGGCTGTAATTGGTAGAAAACGGTCTTTCGTTGAGACCTTTAATTAGAATACAACTCGGAATATAATGAGAGATAAAATTAATTTTTAACCCCTCCCCCCCACCCCTCCTTCAGGCCCCGTCGCTCATTGATCTCGAAAAAGAGTCACACGGGAAAGTTATAGTTTGTACATACCAATTTATTTCGTTGAGACCTTTCATTACAATACCATGAAATGTAGAACATGTGTTAGGAGGAGGTTAGGAATCTAGGACCATTCCCCTAGAAGTAGTTCGAAACGGCAAAAGTGGGTCCGGACGGACGGCCATCAAATTTCGCTGTCTAAAAGGGGGGTCCCCCCACGAATTATTTCCTGAGATGCTGTTTTTGAAAATAAAAACTTTTACATACGACAACCAATTGGTCTCAGATTTATGCATGAAAATGAGGTTGGTGGGTATAGTATTTTAATGAAAGGTCTCAACGAAAGGAATTAATTTCTACCAACCTTAGCCCTCCTCCTCGACCTCTTATCGTGATCGGGTATATTCCCTTCTGCCTCAAGAACGTGATATATTTGAACTCACAAACCTAAGCGGAGCAGAAATCTGACTTGCCCCATCAGGTTTTTACTCTGCCTACGTTAGTTTCGAGCGAGCCGAAGGCGAGTTCGGCACAGACCTAGTCAGAGTTGAGGTTTGACCTACCCCTTCAAATCTTTATTCTGCCTAGGTTTGTGAAAACAGTCGCCCACTTCAAAACTTATGTCTTTTTCTTCGCATGGGCTAGATAGATGAAAATATAATAGCATAATTTGTGTACACCACACAGGCGACCAGTTTTACAGTGGGCGGCCCCCTGCGATGATTGACGTGACTGTTTTTGTACTAGAAGAGCCAATAATGCATTTATAAAAAAGCGTGGCGTTATGCAGTTGACCGGAATAGTTACTATTGAACTAAGTAACTGATTTTCCCTGAAAGCGCAAAATTTCATTCCAGCGGCGTTAACAGGCACATTTCTTCATAAAGAAACATTATTTAATAAAATGTGCGGCCCCACGAGATAACGATTTTTGAAAAACCTCGGAAGCAAACTTTCATACAAACGAATTTTATTTTAACGGTGCTAAGAGGCGCATAATTAGCGTTTAATTTCTGAATAAGATAAACTTAATTTTTGAACAAATCCGCATCGTTATGAAATTGTCTAGGATAAGGGTTTTTTGGAATAACTCATTTTCTATTAGGGCGCAAAATTTCTTTACAACGATGCAAAATGGCGCATAATAAGATGATAAGTTAAGGAGATACCGGTTCGGTTCAGTTTGTAAAAGTGTAAGAAATATTTAACAATAAAAGTAGGACAGAGACACCAAAAGCAACCATCTTGGATTTTATTTCCGATTTAATTCGCGGAGCCAATCAAGGTCAAATAAATTGCTTCGGGATTATGCTCACGTGGGCGAGGGTGTTTTCGGGGACTTCATTGGCTATTTCTGAGAATTTTGAATACTTTCGTTGAATTTGGATTTGATCAATTTATTTAGTTGGCGTTCTAAATTACTAATTGACTGTTTGAATGGTTTCCTACTCTGATGGGTAAATTAATTTAGTTTAATTAATTAAGTTTCGTGGATATAATTACTTGAAATTAGACTTAAATTTTGATCATTCTGGCAAGCGATTTAATTATTCATCATGGATTTTGACGTCACAAAGCACGCCCACTGTCTAGTCCACGTCGATGACGTAATTTTGAGTGGTTCTTATATTAGGTCATTCCGTAATTGGGCGTAAGCCTGTTGAGAGCCTAGAACAAGAGGCACAATAAATAAATAAATAAATAAATAAATAAATAAATAAATAAATAAATAAATAAATAAATAAATAAATAAATAAATAAATAAATAAATAAATAAATAAATAAATAAATAAATAAATAAATAAATAAATAAATAAATAAATAAATAAATAAATAAATAAATAAATAAATAAATAAATAGATAAATAAATAAATAAATAAATCGCGATTTAAAGATTCGCGTTATATTGTTGTTCTTAAAATTTCTTTCTGAAGGGTTGGTAGGCAAAGTAGATGTAGACACCTACACGCCTACACACCTAGGATTGTTTTAACGTGGAAGTGTATATAATAACAGGCATTTACTAATGTCGAACGGACCGAGAACATGCAAACCTAGTCGGAGTAGAGATCTGACTAGCCCATCAGACTTTTACTCTACTAGGTTTGTAAGTAAACGGCCATAAGCGGCCATCTTGGATTTTATTTCCGGTTTAATTGTCAGAATTATTTTAATTCGCGGGATCAATCAAGGTCAATTAAATTGATTCGCTGACTTGATTATTTCTAGGAATTTTGAATAATCTCGTGCAATTTATACTTTAATTTGATTAATTCATTTATTTCGGGTTTTAATTGACTGTTTTTGCGGTTTCGCACTGGCAGAATCGCGGATATAATTTCACTATGTAATTAATTATTAGTTTAATTAAACTTTAATTTTGATCAATGAACTAATTGCGACATGCGATTTAATTAATCATTATGGACTATGACGTCACAAGCCCCGCCCACTGTCTAGCCCACGTAGACGACGCGAGTGGTTTTTATCTTAGTTAAAGTAAAATGGGTTCTTATATTAGCTGGTCCTTAGAAAGCTTCGCTAAACTAAAATGGGTTCTTACCCTAGATACAAACCACACGAGACAATTGTTAAGATAAGAACCCC